AATTAGTTGTAGATTATGAAATATTTTATAAGTTCCTAAGTAATTGTGAAAATTTCCCACTTTATAACTTGTCGATCATGTGTGTTTGGCCCCAACGATAACCAATTTAACAAACTTGAGCATGAAATGACCGAGCAATTGAGGAGAAAACCTACTGAAATTGAACATGCAAATGAGAAAATACAAGCATTTATGAGGGGAAAAAACAAACTAAAATGGATAAAAGAAATTATAAAATGGATAAACCAAACTATTTTTTTTTTCAAAAATTTATCTGAACTGGTCGATTAGTTGTACTAGTTGTGCAGCTTTTACCCTATATTTAAAACTGCATGTTATGGGAATAGTAAAAAAGAATAGGGATTTTTGGACTTTCATTATTTATGTCGTAAGGTCTTAATTAACTTTTAGTACAAAGGAACCTTTTGATTGTTCTTTGCGTTTCTAACAAGGTATAAAAATTATAATAAGTCGTATATTAATAGTTCAAAATATTTAAAACACATATAATTGTGGTAAAAAAAATAACTCATTTGACTCTCGAAATCCGAACACTTTCATATAAATTGGGACGGAAGGAGTGGTTGCTTAAGCTTGTTAAATCCGGTAATCGTAAAAGTGTATTATATATATATACTATTATTTTGAGAGCGGCTATGTAGTGCCTGTTTGCAACAAATTATTTGTGATACAAAAATAAATTGTAACCACAATATAAATATGAAGAAACCTAATTTTATTGATAAAATGATGCGGGTACAGTTTTGTTTGTTCCCTTGATTCTTCTCTCTAGACCGTTCTCCGTGATTCGAGGGCTTAACCAACGTATTTTTCAAACGTAGGATGATGCGAACTTCCTTAGGATATATTTGATCTCCAGGAAAAGGAAGAACATCCGTTGATCACTTCGGTGGCTTTGAGAAATCAATATTTGATCTATTTGTGAATATTCCATGAAATTTTATGAAATTTTGAGATGCTTTCAAAGGGAATATGTGGGCCCCTTTTATAGGTGTAGCTAGGGTTTTGGGTAGAGTACCCTTTAAGCTAAGGTTTCAGGTAGAATAACTTCCAAGTTAGGGTTTCAGATAGAGTAGCCTCCAAGAAACTTCAATGGACTCAATTTGTACTATCTTAAATTTAGAATTTTGCCCAAATTTCATATGAATTTGATCCAATAAAATTTTGATGTCTACAGTGTCATTTCCCTTTTTGTTCTCAAAAGAAATAGTACTATTATTAAACTAATAAACCACTCAACTAACTACAAGAGTTACAAATTGCATCTTGAATTAAAGAGATCGTTGGGTAAATTTCACGTGAAAGTAAAAAAGAAAAATAAGTTATTTATAAGGTATTGGATATTTTTAATGGTGTGAGACTTTTTGCAAGATATCGTACGGGCTTAAACCCAAACGAATAATATCATATCATGCTAAAAGTATTTTCGAACTAGTTTAACTTAACAATTGGTATCCGATCTAATAGTTTGGTGAAACAAGTACGGAGATAATAGAGTGTAGCGTAGAGTGATGAATCATGTAAAACTTAGTTTAAAGGAGAGATATCTACACCTACAACATAGTGATAGTAAGAAAGTTAACCACTCTCTCCAATATAAAAAGGAAATAAAAACAATTACTTAACAAAATAAGCTAAACTAGTTGCTTTATGTAAGCTTCTTCACATGTCACATTCCACCTCTCTCTTAACCATGTCTAATTTAATGCATCAATAAAAAAAGGGCTATTGGATTAAGACCTTTCCTCTTCCTTTCTTTCCTTCTTTCTTACACACATGCACATAAAGCCAATTTATACATCTCAATCAAACAAGAACTCATAACCCCTTTTGGTAGTACGTGTTGTTTATATATAGAATATGGAAATGATTTATATTTTCCTACACTTCGATTCTCTTTGTTTATATTTAAGATTTATAAAAAAAGCAATCGATTTAAAGGAATTTTGTCATTACAAACTTTTATTACATTATTAAGGTTAAAGATGTTTAATGGCCAAATATAGCCTCAAAGAATACCTTGTGGGACCAAATACTCCCCCTATATGGGAGCATATTCAATATATGGGACCATTTAAAAAGGGCATATTCAATATTGGATAGGAGTGGTATATTTGTGTCAAAGTATTAACGACATGCAAATTCGTTCAATTTCACATAGTTCAAGAGTATATTTTGATCTTTTCCCTATAGAATATAATGAAAAAAGTTCAGAAGTTTTTGAGGGGAATAGTAGCCGAGGCAAGATTTTCTTTAAAATATTTAAAATAAAAAAATAAACATGCAAAAAGCATATATATATATATATATATATATAATAGTAATTTTAACCTTATATATACAATATAATTGTGCCCCTATTGTTTTGCTTTTCATCTATTTTCTGATTCTTGTGATGCTGTTATTTATTCTATAATTTTTATTGATAGTACTGATATATTGTCTCTTTTCGTCTTTTTGAGCCGAAAGTCTATCGGAAACAGCCTCTCTACCTCTTCAGGATAGGAATAAGATCTGCGTACACACTATTCTCTCCAAACCTCACTAGTAAAATTTCACTGGATCGTTATTGTTGTTATTGTCGTAATTGTACGACACAACATTGTTAAAAAAGGTAACCAAACTTTCAAGAAACCAACAGCTTTTCTGCCTTAAATGGGTAGACATAATAAAGTACCCTCTCCCCACTAACACTAAAACTTACAGTTTTTTCTGTAAGCCAATGTTTTCAACCATTCTGTAGTGAAGTCCCCTCTTTCTCTTTTGTCTCCCAATAATTTTATCTTTCCTCACTAAAAGAATTAGAATATTTCCTTTCAAATATTTTCATTTATAAGACTCGAATCAGAAATCTCTGATTAAAAATAAAAAATATATTTTCGAACATATCTTCTTACCGGTTTGAGTTTGGTGGAGATGCAAATCTTGTTTTCTGATAATAGAAAATTCTTAAGGTTTATCTAGCGCACTTTTCGAAACTCGATAAATAATTAGCTTTCTATCTTCTTCATTTATATACCAATTTTTTTTGCTTGTTGTATAGTTTGAATTCGTGAACTACACCTACATCATAAATTACGCGTTACGCTATTAACACTAAATAAAATCTAAATGCAAAATGCAACCTATAACTTCTAAATTTGAGTTAAAAATAAGCTTTGTTTATATCATCTAGTACCTATCTATAATAATCAGGTAAAATTACTAGCTTACCCCTACCCTGTTAGGGGGGGGGGGTGTAGGGACCACAAAGAGGTAAGAACAAATATCTCCAGAGCCATGGCTGCAAATAGCAGACTCAATGGTTGGTGATGAATATTTTAATTTCTAAAAATAAAGTAGAAATCCTAATGACGAAATTACCATCAACCTATTTATAATTACTATTTCAATTTTTGAAATTTATGGGAAACTGTTTGATTTGATTCAATACGAATTTTAAGATTTCAAAAATTTAATGGTTGGTGATGAATATTTTAATTTCTAAAAATAAAGTAGAAATCCTAATGATGAAATTACCATCAACCTATTTATAATTACTATTTCAATTTTTGAAATTTATGGGAAACTGTTTGATTTGATTCAATACGAATTTTAAGATTTCAAAAATTCAATGGTTGGTGATGAATATTTTAATTTCTAAAAATAAAGTAGAAATCCTAATGACGAAATTACCATCAACCTATTTATAATTACTATTTCAATTTTCGGAATTTATGGAAAACTGTTTGATTTGATTCAATACGAATTTTAAGATTTCAAAAATTATATTGCATAATATTTTTGACATATAATCCACATATATATATTATTACGAAATAACAAAATTATTATAAATAAATACAATAATGAGAGTTTGACATGCCTTTTATTTTATTTTTTAAAATTAAATTTTTATATCAAGCGAGTTCAATAAATCATATTACTAAGAGTAAAATTAAAAAAAATAAATATACATAAAAATATCTTTTTTTTAAAGTAAATTAAGAGAAAGTATAGCATAAAATGGGATATATGAGAGTACGGTCAGACCTCTCTATATCTCTATATAATAACTATTCAATATAAAAATTAAATTTTTTTCGAAATCGATTTTTATATTATATTATAATATATCTCGTTTATAACAATACTTTACTATATCTCGGAACAAACAGATTGCTATAATGAGGTTTAACTGTACTGATAAAAAACTAACCTATCCTTTTTGGGTGGGGACCACATGGCACACAACAAATATTAATGGCTGACAGAGTTAAGAAAAGCTTCACAATCATGGTTTCCAATAGCAGACTGGTGAATGAATCTTGAACCAAAGTCAAGAAAGATAACTTCTTAAAAGGAGGGTAAAATAGTAAAAACACAATTGGCCACACCATAGGCAGTAGAGTAGTATAATAATAATAATAATAATAATAATAATAATGTATAAAAAAGCCCATCACTATCAGTAGAGGAAACACCAGCCTAAAAACAAGGTACACAACACAACCACAACACCTTTGCCATACTTATCAGAAAAAAAGAAGCATCTTTCCCTCTCTCTCTCTCTCTCTCTCTCTCTCTCCTCTTTTTCAGCAAAATCCATAGCCTCATCACTTTCTCTCTCAAAAGCAAAATAAATACACACACACACACAGTGACACCCCCCACCCCCAACCCAACAAAAGTCCACCTCACAAGTCACAAATTAATTCTTTTTCTTCTATTTTGTAATCTATATGACTGCTATATAGCTACATATATGTGTATATATCCTAATTCTCAGAAAGCCAAAGAAATGTAAGAAGATGATTCAAGAAACATGAAAATTCCACCCCCTGCTCCCAAGTCCCTCACCCCCCAAACATTCCACCCCCTAAC